TCGCCGAGCAGGCGAGCCCAAAACGAGTCGGCGCGCGCGGTTGCCAGGGGCACGCGATTGCGACGGGCGACGAGGGCCAGCGCAGGCCCGCGCCTGTCGCCCCCGCGCGGCGCTCCGCGACGCCGAAGAAGAGGCTCGACGGAGCGCCGTCGGCTCGTTCACAGAGGGGCAAGCGCAAGTGGGGCCAGGGTTGGTTCGATGGCTAGGGGGCGCCGCAGTGTTCGAAGGAAGTGGGCGAAGCCACGATGGTGACTAGCTCCGCGCCAGGGCGAATCCGCGCGCCCTGGGGGGGCATGCGCGCGGATGCCGTGCACTGCGCGTCCTTAGGAGGAGGAGGAGGAGGAGGAGGAGGAGGAGGAGGAGGAGGAGGAGGCGAGCGAACTTGGTTTTTACCGTTTCCCGCTGACACGCGCGCGGGCTGCGGCTGATCGCAGCGTTGCACATGCCGTGAATGCCGCTGTGTGGGAGGGCGAATGTGCGGGGTCCTCGCTCGCGACGCGCGCTCGCGAGCGCGCCGGGCGTCTCGCCGCGGGTTTGCCCTCGCCGAGGATGCCTGCGCGGCAGACTCGGGGCAAGGGCCTTCGGCGCGTGGAGCTCCAGATGCGGCTGCAAATTGGCGCGCGGCCGATTGCGCCGATGGGGGCGAGCAATTACCTTTGCTAGGGTTACGTCGAGCGCGGCCTCGTCGAGGGTGCCGACGAGGCCCCCCGGGCGGCGCCCCTCGCGATGCCCGCGCGCGCGCGTGGGGGGGCGCTCCCGCCGCTCAGGGAGCTGGCGGTTGCGATCGCGAATTCAATGCGCGCGCGGGGCGAGGCCCGCCTCTGGGCCGGCGCGCGCGGTGCAGCGCAGGACGCAATTCAGCGGGCGCGCGACGGCGATGTCGCCGAGATTCGCGCGGAGTTCGACGCGCTCCTGGCAGAAGTCCAGGGCGGCGGCCATAACACCGCTTGACCATCTGAGGTTGGCGGAAGCGCCCCCTCAGACCACGGCGCCGGCATCTTGCCCATCCGAAGTGGAGGGGGCCACGCGCTGGGCGAACGGCGCGACGTGGACAGCATTGCCCCGCGATCGCAGCGACGCGCCGCGTTGCCAGGGTCGGAGAAGCTCGGGCATCGCGCCGAAGATGTGGCGCCCCGCAGAATGCAGCGGCGAGGCGGGCCTGACGGCGCAGGCACCAGGTTAACTGCGAGGTATACCGCCGGGCGTTACGAGCGGCGGTCTTGGGCGGCGAGGCGCGCGCGGCTTCCGAAGCGAATGCCGACGAGGAGGTTAGCGCAGGCGCGCGCGCATGCCATGTCGCCCGTGGCCCCGTCGCACCTGGTCAGAGCGCGCGGCCAGGCCGCGCGGCGCGGGCTGCACTTGGCGCGGCGCTCGACCGCGGCGTCGCCACCCCGAGATTCGCAGTTGACGAAGGCGTCCGGGTGTCCCGCAATGGCACCCGGAAACCGAAAGTCCTGGCGATTGACGACATCAGTGCTTGTTGCACCAAAAAAGCTGCCGCGACAACTGAGACCACGGCTCTGGGCGCCCTCGACTCGCTCGTCGCGATGGAGCGCGCGGCCACTAGTGACGCCACCGAGGCGCGCTTGCGGCTCCCAAAGCCCGATTTCGTCGGCGCCTGCAGGACGCTGCCCCTTTCACTCGGACGCGCTGAAGTTTGCCGTCTCTGCGCGGGGCGATGGGGCGGGCCAACTCAAGTGCTCGCAGTTGCCGGTTTGCACTTTTGGCGCGACGACGTTGGGATTTCAGCGGGGGCGCCTGGGGCGTCCATCCGACGCATCTTGGCCATCTTTGTCTGGGCGGGCAGAGGGGGGTTTGTCGACGACGCTATCTGTAAACCGCCGAGTGATAGAAGGACTGCTCGGGTGGAACTTGGATTTCGACAGAGCGCGCCAGCGCATCAGAGGCCTGGCTCCGCGACGATAACTGGTGCTCGCTCCAGAGCAAGCCCGGAGACAGAAAGCGCAAGTGGACAACCCAGATCGAGGAGGTCTTGCGCACTGGCCAGATGTCCCCGGCGGCGGCCCAACCGATGGCTGGCCGCCGGGGATGGCGTTGGGGCCCGGTGTTCAGGCGTTTTGCGAGGCCGCACTTGGCGCTGGTATTCTTCCACGCCAACCAAAAGTCGCACCGCGCGACGGGGCGTCGAGCGGCCCTGGGAGTGGCCGCGGCCGTGGGCCGCGGCGCCCCGCAGGACATGACCTCCCGCTTGCTGCGGCGCGTGTCGTCTGCAATCCTCGGCGGGGGCCGTCGCGGGCACGCGCGGGCTAAGGTTCGGCTCGCCAGTGGGGCGGCGCGACGCCGGTGCTGGTGGGGACATAGTTGCTCGCGCGTGCTGGCGCTGCCGCCTGCCCCCTCCTAAATCGCGGCGCGCGCAGTGAGGTTCGCCGCGCTTGTTCCTGGCGCGCGAGGGGCGATGGCCGCGAGTCGCATTATTGCGCAGCTGCGCGAGATTTACGATGAAGCACTTCCGCTCGTTGCGCTTGCGCCCGCGAAATTTCTCGCGGCGAGTGGAGCAGCGCGCGCGCTGCAGACAACGGGGCTTCGATGGGTCGACTTTATGGGCTCCGGTAAAGCAGTGGAAGAAGTGCTCGAAGCTGCATGATCGGAGTTGGCCACGGCATTGGGTCATGGGCATCCGCTGCCGCGCCACCCGAGGCAGGTCATGCCACGCGCGGCCGCTCCGAGCTCGCGAGGTCGGGGGGGCGCCCTGCGGGCGACGTGAGTGCGCGGCGCAGGCGCCCGCGCGCAGTCTGAGGGGTCGGTGCCCGGCGACCGCGCAGGGGGCCGGGGGGCGTTGTCGACGTGCGGCGACGCATGCAAATTGTTGATCCCGCTGGCGCCTCGCTTGCGCGTTGGTGCGAGCGCCAGTTGGCGCGTTCGACCACCCCGCTACAAAGCCAGGCCAAGCAGGCGACCGTGGCAACGATCGCATGGCAACCGCGGCCCAAGATGTTCACCCGCGAAATTATGTTAGTGCATGCAATGAAGGCCCTCGACTTGGTAGAACACCGGCGGCAGCTAAGCTTGCTGTTCCTGTGCGCGCATGCGTTTCTGCCCAGGCCCCCGTCGGAAGCGCCGCCGATTGCAGTCAGTTCGATCATGCGGATCAGGCGGGGCGCGCACGGGGGGAGCGCAGCGACTCGCGCCCCTGCCGCCGCGTGCGATCGCAGGTGCACGGGCAAGCTCGCGAACCGCCCCACGCGTGCGGCCGTGGGTCTGGGTGCGGCGCAAGTGAATCATAATATCTAATTCATGTGCGCCGTGCGTGCCCGCCTGTGTGTCTCCTGCTCCCACCATCACCGCCCTGTGTTGCTTGGTGTTGTGGACCTGTCATGGTGTCGCCAGGGTCCGAGAGGGGCGGTGTTCGTGGGGCGGGTCTCGTCACCCGCCGCCGCCGACCGCTCGGCGCGGGCTCTGGCTGCGCCATGTCCGTTCGGCACGATGCTGGCGTTCACACCGCGCGGGCCAGGCGCCGCTCAGCCTTTGGAATCTCCAGAGACTGATTGAGGGCTGGCGGGGCAATCCAGCACTTTCCAAACACCCGCGCCACCCCGAAGAGGAGGATCTCATCTTTGTGTGTTGCGCGCAGGGGAGAATGGCGTAGCTCGCCTTCCGCACCGCTCGGAGGCGGGCGAGTTAGCTCCCGCCCGCCAGCCTAGTGCATCTGGCACTCCGCGGAACGCTTCGGCCACTAATCGCTCGCTGCCTGACGAGCGGCAGGGCTGGTGCTCGCTCCAGAGGGAGGAAAAAGGAACGAGCGAGGGAGAGAACGAGGGGGTGAGCAAGCAAGGGAGGTAGAGATGACTACATGCAGGGGCAGTCAGTGGTGGGGATTGCCGGTCTTTGAAGGACATGCGTAATGAAGCGAGGCATGACCCAGCGGTTCAATCATGGGCAGTTGTAAATGAGCCAGGCGCATTCATAGTATAACTCCAGTTGGCACGTGTTTTGATTCAGACGCCGAGCCTTGCAATACAGCAGTTCAAATGCACCTGTTGCTGTGTGGGGTTCGGCAGGCTACCCTGGACACTGTGACAGAGCAGTTCCTCGAGCGAGATGACTGGGAATTGTGCGCCCTGGAGGCCCGCACTCGGTGGTAGGTCATGGATGTACTGGGAGTCTTGTATTTCACACGTTCCGAACGCCCCTGGACAAAGAGTACAACGCCATTTCAAACCCAGCTGGTTCAAGCTCAGCGTCTGGCGTGGGAGCGCCCCGGGAGGCTGCGGCGGCGTCGTGGGGTCCTGGGGCCGAGTGCGGAGGAGGGAAGGGGCTCGCCCGGTCCAGACGGTGGCTCCAGGTCCAGGTTAACAGGAAGAAAAGTCATAGGAATAAGACTGCGGAAACTAATGTTCTGAAGAAGAGGAGGAAGGAGGAACAACAAAAGGAAACATGAGAGCAAGACAAAGAAGAGGGCAACACACATTCGGCGCCCGTGGCGGGCGCATTGGTTGACGTCTTTGCAGTGATAGCGCACTGGAGGGAGGGAGGGTGTCCCCAAGGTAGCCACGAACACAGCCAAGTCGCTGATCGTGGCCACCTCGCTGCTGGACCGATCAGACGTGGCCCCGAGCGACGCGCTTCAGTGGGCGATGTTGGAGGAGCGGGTCACGAATGATGGTTGCTCAAATTGAGACCTCACGATGAATTCCGTTTTGGGGTAAACACATTTGCGGTTTCGGTTTTGTAGCTGGGAAAATGGGATATCCCTGGCCATGGCGGTCACCATGCGCCCACCTTCATGGTTTGCCACTCGCCGCCTGACCATGGACTCTCCACTCTCTGGCTCATTCCTGAGTCCCCGAACCCTCGGGCGGGTTCGTTCAGAATGGAGTAGCAACGCGAACGGCTTGTCGTTCGCATGCTCGCACGGCTTGCAGGCTCGCTCTCATGCATGCTCGCATGGGAGAATGTAGTTTCTGTGCATGCTCGCAAGGCTCGATCCCAGGCCATCGCTGCGGCCGGTGCCGTCGGCCCTCTTGTGACTCGCCCTCCGCCGACAGGGCGTCCACCTGCGACGGGGAAGCTTCAGCACCCGAGAGGCCAGGGGTGCATCGGGGAACTTGGAAAGTATTACCAGCCTCGAGCGTATCCCTATCTATCCCTAAGATTGACCCGCCAAAAGGCGACGACAATCTTAGGGATTCGCCCTCAAAAAATAAGAGAATCCCTAAGATTGCCATCGTGATGAGGAGGTGCCCAGCATAGGGATAGGGATATGTTCCAGGCTGATAAAAGTAGTTGTTAGTTGACGCTTTCCCCCGCGGGGGCGCGACGCTGAACGCGCTCAGCACGTCGCGGTCTGGGTCAGAGCGGCTGCCCCTCTCCAGGGCGGCGGCGCGAGGGAGCGAGGGCGCGAAGGTGTCCGCGCGTCGCGGGTCGCGAGGGCGCGAAGCGAAATGACATGGGCTGATCGTGGGGTGAGAGCGCTGTGGCGTGACGCGCGTTCCGCAATGCAGCCTGGACGATTGCACCGTGTCGGTTGAGTCGGGGGCGGCAGAGAGGGGGGTGATGACTAGGGGGGGGGGATATCATGGCGTGAGCCCTGATGTTTCCCCAGATTTCAGAGCGCCCCTTCTTATTAGATTACGTCCCTGACCCCCCCGCCGGGCCGCGCACATGCCGCCGGTCATGATCTGCACCCCTTCCCTCTTGGACACCCCCCTCTTGGCCGCTCCCTCTTGGACACCCCCCTCTTGGGCGTGTCTGGTTCAGACCATCCGAGCTGGGCAAGTCCGAGCCCTGTGCGCTGCCCTGGAGAGGAACATTTCGACACCCGCAGGCCTCCTGCAGGGACCTGCGGGCAGAGGGCCGCGCCCTGTGCACGACTAAGTCGAGAGGGAGTCCAACAAGTCTGGGAGGGTACAGTGCTGTTCGGGGTGTGGTTGCAGGGTTACGGGGTGGACCAGTGACTTAGGATGCACTCCTTGAGAGCCATTGATTTCAGCATGGGCGCCAGTACATCCTCGGTCGAAGACCGGCCAAATCCAGCATGCTGCCGCCTAATCTGGCTCAGCAGTCGCAATCCCTCTCAGTCCTGGCTAATCTGGCTCGGCCATGGGCGTCTTCCGGCTTACTCTGCCTTGATGGCTTCCTCATCTTGCCCAACGGCCCTGAGACCTCATGGGAGCCGCCTCCTAAAGTCACGCGGTGGCGCCCAGGAGCGCTTCCAGATCGACCGGTGGGGCCTGGTCGAGGGAGAGCACGACGTCAAGAATGACGAGACGCTGCGCTGGCTCGAGGCATGTCAGCGCTTCGCGGTGGGGCGCCGTGCTGGCGCCGAGTGAGCGTATGAGAAAAGGTGCCGGCGCTGCAGCGCGGATCGGGCGTCGGAGCTCCGGGGGGGCGGGACGAAAAATAAAAAACACCCCACACATACACCAAAAAGGTAAAACAATTATCCCAGTGCGACCCTACCTAGGAGTTGGAGCCCCGAGGAAAGCAGCATTAGTAGTAACAGTAAAGCTAAGCTAAAGCTAAGCTACAGCTAAACTGCAGCTAAGCTAAAGCTAAGCTAAAGCTAAGCTAAAGCTGAGCTACAGCTGAGCTACAGCTGAGCTACAGCTAAGCTAAAGCTAAGCTAAAGCTAAGCTAAAGCTAAAGCTAAATATAAAACTAAGCTAAAGCTAAGCTAAAGCTAAGCTAAAGCTAAGCTAAAGCTAAGCTAACGCTAAGCTAACGCTAAGCTGAAGCTAAGCTAAAGCGAAACCAACGCTAAACTAAAGCTAAGCTAAAGCTAGCTAAAGCTAAGCTAAAGCTAAGCTAAAGCTAAGCTAAAGCTAAGCTACAGCTAAGCTACAGCTAAGCTAAAGCTAAGCTAAAGCTAAGCTAAAGCTAAGCTAACGCTAAGCTAAAGCTAAGCTAAAGCTAAGCTAAAGCTAAGCTAAAGCTAAAGCTAAAGCTAAAGCTCCCAGGGGACTGGGGGAACCGTGGGGCGGGGACTGGGGGAACCGCCCGGGGCGCTTTCCACTGCCCGTCCCCTTTAAGCTAGAGAGTAAGAACCCTTCTAGGCAGAGCCTAGGTAGGGAATAATCGAACAATAGTCCCCCGACTATTTTTGGACTATTCTTTTGATTATTTTTGGGTTAACTTTTCATTTTTCGTCGAAAATCCCCCCGTAGGGGGACAGGCCCGACCTAACACTGCAGCGCGGAGCGGGCGTCGGAGCTCCGGGGGGGGGCGGGGGGTCCATGCAAGCGGGGGCCGGCCACAGCGCCGGGTCGTGCAGGAGCCTGCGGATCGTCCCGGGTGCACTGCCTGGCCAGGCCAGCGCGCAGGCTGCTGCACCGCTGGACTGGCCCGGGTCTGCACATGGTACCCGGGTCGGTGCGTCCCCGATCTCGAGAGCGCACTGCGCGCATGGTGGCAGAAGACTCTTTTTTGCGGTAGAGAACAAAGGAGCGCATGTACACAGCATTTCTCCGAGGTGCGCGCGGATCTCTTTGATCGGCCTTGGGCCCCCCTAAAAGCGCGCTTCGCGCGCCAGGGGGGGAGTCCAGCGCCGATCCAAGCAGTCCGCGCGGGCCTCCGAGAAAGCATGTTTGTGCCGTCTTTTCCCTCATATCCTAAGATGGGGTTCTTGTTATTATTCGGACGCCGCCGACTCCAGAGAGAACACACCTGCTCATACACAGACTTACTCATACTCAGACCTAGTCATACTCAGACCTACTCAGACATGCTCAGACCTACTCATACTCATCCAGAGAGAACACACCTACTCATACTCGTACTCAGTATGTGTGTGCCGTCTTTTGTTCCTCGTTCCTCGGTGCGCGACGTTCCTAGGCAGGCGGCTGGCTTCTAGAAGACGGACGGCTTCTCAGAATGCGGGGCCGTTCTCAGAAGGTCCTTGGGCCTGCTCAGAAAGCTTCGTAGGAGCCGGAGACTGCGCTGTTCTCTTCGAAGCTTGCCGCCTCCTTAGAAGGGCACCCCCTCGCACCGCCGCCGCCGCCTGGTGCGCATCGCCCAGGGTGGGAAGGGTGTCTGATTCCATGGCCCTCGTCGTCTACGCAAGAGCCTACCGTAAGGCGCGTAGTGGCCCACGCTCGCCTGCACGAGCCGAGCATAATGATGAGGAGGATGAGGATGATGATGATGATGATGGTGGTGTTCCGATGATGATGCTGATGGGGTCCCGATGATGATGATGATGATGATGATGATGATGATGATGATGATGATGATGATGATGATGATGATGATGATGATGATGATGATGATGATGATGATGATGATGATGATGATGATGATGATGCTGATGCTGATGATGCTGATGATGCTGATGGTGACGATGATGGTGCCCCGATGATGATGATGATGCTGATGATGATGGTGATGAGGTGATGATGATGGTGGTGTCCCGATGGTGATGATGACGTCGATGACGTTGATGACGATCATGTTGATGATGATGATGCCGTTGATTGTGAGATCGATTGTTATATCGATAGTGAGATCGATAGTGCGACCGGATGTGAGATAGTTTGTGAGATCGATAGTGAGATCGATAGTCCGATCGATTGTGAGATCGATCGCCAGATCGATTGTCAGATCGATCGAATGAAATAGATCGGGTGATATCGATAGTGAGATCGATCGAGTGAGATCGATCGAGCGAGACCGATAGTGAGATCGATAGTGGGATCGATAGTGAGACCGATCGAGTGAGACGTTTGCTCCTCCCCCCCGAACCTCCTTATCACCCTAAGGGTGGTCGTATCGGTACAAACGTATACACATATACACATTCATGCATGTAAGTGCGGACGTGTGTTGTATCGGGAGATCGGACGAGAGAAAACGAGCACTAAGGCAAAAGGAGGAGCAGCAGTTGGCCGAGCAAGGATGGATGACACACGCCGCTATCTTGCGCCCCGCGCGCCGAGCGATGGGTTGGCGATGCCAAAGGCCCTGCATGCGAAGAGGGTGGTAAGGTGTGATATATCTGGCCTAACCTAGCGCTTAAACGGGATTACAGGTGCACTAGATTTCTGAAGGGGGTGCAGATCTGCCTCAGCGGGCATAGCCCGGCGGAGTTGCCCAGTACACCATAAACTTTGTGGGATGCAACCCGCTGAAAGGCCAGGTTGGGCCAGACACAACCCACCATAGCAGCATCCACATCTGACCCCCCTTGCCCATACAGTCGGGGCGCTGACTAAGGAACCCTTTTCGTTGGGGAGGAGCTCGGTGTTCCTTGATTGTTTTACAGTTTGCCTTGGGTTTTCCTTAGGTTTCCCATGGGGAATCGAAGTTTAACTTAAGGGAAACAGGGGCCTCGTTCCTTATTTAGGGTTCCTTAGGTCAACGCCCCGACTGTATCCCCTCAGCAGCGCCAGCGGTGATCTCAGCAGGCCTCCAGCCGCCTCCTTCTCGGGGATGCCTCCGCCCTCCTCTGCAGCGACGCGCCCGCTCCTTCCTGGAGGGGGAGGGTGCGCGCCGGGCCGGCCGAGTTTTTGCGCGGGCAGGCCCGGGGGGGGGGGGGCGGGCGGGGCCGCGGCTGCCCAGGGTGATGACGGTGCTGGCCGTGGTCGCCCTGTACGCCATCGTGAACCCCGTCGGCATCCTGCCGTTCGGCCACGTGAAAGACCCTCCCCTCGCGCGGGGCGGCCCCGCCCGTCGTCGGGGGCGACGTCGGGGGGTGGGTGGGCTCAGGGGGGACGCGTCGACCCCCGATGGCCCACTGACCGCGGATGGGGGCCCGATGGCCCTAACCTGCCCAGGAACGTGCGGATACGCCATGGGGGGTCTATCGCCGGTCCCAGTTCGAAGTCGACCCCTCTGGGCTCGTCCCCCCCATATCGTTCCCCCTCACATCGGCGGGCACCATCGCCCCTCGTCGAAGAAGAAAGGAGAGGTAGCCATGAGGTTTCGGAGAGACTCGCGGGTGTCCTGGAGCTGCGCTGGGTCTCCCTGGCGGCGCCCCCAGCGCCGCTCCTGGCGCGTTGTGCGCGCCAGGGGAGGGAGGTCCAGCGCAGATCCAAGAAATCCGCGCGGACCTTCGAAAGTTATGTACATGCAGCTTGTCTTTCCTCTACGTCGGTTTCCTCCTCGGCGCCTTCGGGGGGTGGCGCTCGCCACCATGGCGGGATCCACTTCGGAATCCTGGGCCGAATGTGATCCAGGAGATGTCTCGCCGGCCACAACGAAGAGGCTCGATCCTGACACCATGGCGTCTCGAATACACGACGGGCGATTTTGCCATGGGCCATCACCATCGTCATCACTGTGGCCGTCGTCATCACCATGACCATCACCACCATCGCACTCATACAGGCCCCTTTGGCTCAAGAGCTCCTGGGTACGCCGCTGCATCCAGAGTGCCGTGTCGCCAGGATTAGATCGTTGCCGCTGTGGCCGACGACGTCGAGCCATGGCCCACAGGCAACTGCACAGCGGTAATCATGATACACTGTGACTGTGGAAGAGTCTAAGAGTGGTCGAGGGGTGTACCGTCGTCGTCGGCTTCCTTGTCCAGTTTTGGATGATGAAACGCCCTGCTACAGCCCACGCAAATGGCGGCAGGAATGATCTCTACATTCGGTTGCGCAGAAAGGTAAGCGCTTGGCCGCGGCCAGAGGCGATACGAAAGCTCATGCCTACGACCAGTGCGAGGGCTCGTGTCTACGACCAGTGCGAGGGCACGGGCCCTTTCGTGCTGAACCCGGCTCTCGCCGAAGCGGCCTTACGCGGCCCACCCGCCAGAGCCGCAAAAGGCCCCCCCGTGCGCCAGCATGGCACAGGTGCCCCGCTGCTTGTGAACACTCAGCAGCGCGTGGACGGGGCGGCCTCATTCCCAGCAGCATCTCATCCGCGCACGCCGGTACCTCGGGCGCTGGGAGAGCCCGCGCCCTCCTCGGGGCTCGGCTCGCCACGATGACCTCCGCCGCCTGACGCGCCCGCTCCCCGTCTGTGGCCGCCCACGGGCAAGAGCGGGGGTGCCCAGAGCCCCATGGCGTCTCGACGTCGGGCGCTGCGTGAGACCAACTTCTCGCGCCCGCGCGTGACCGTCCACCTTGCTGGCAGGCGATGGCGGCCAGCGCCAGTGCTTCCCGTTGCAGTGCCCTCTGAGGGGCGAGAGCAGGGCAGGTGGCTCGACGCCCTGGGCACTGCAGCGCATGCTGGTGCCATGCTGCATCATCGGCCTCGGCCCTCATCTGCAAGCCACCCGAACGAGCGCCAACCGCGGTGGGTGGCTGCCCGCGGTGAAGAAGTGGCCGTAGATGTCGCTCAGGGCGAGAGGCCACAGAAGCTTGGTACCCGTTAGGTCAATGCGGCTGTTGCC